AGACTTTGCCTCAGAAGGGAAGGTAGGTGATGCAGGAAGACACTTGAGGTCAGCCTCTGTGCCCAGCCCCATGGAGTGAAGACAGACATTATCAATGTTAAACTAAACATATATAACAGTAAACAGCTAATTTTACATATGACAAGTAAGTTTCCTAAACTGAAGCTGCTGTCTCTCCCGAGCTGAGTCCATAAAGAGCCTTCAGGTTTACTTTCAGGACTCTAGCTCCAAGGACTAAACTGTCACTAGTGACTCAAATGACTTATTTCTTAGCACTGTTAAAAATCTTCTGAAAAATCTTTCACTAAAGTGACCTTTGGGAGCAGCTGATCTGTTTCTCCTGAGAAAGCTTCAACTATTTCACAGATAATAACACATGACTGTAAAATAAAACTAAGAAACAGCCCCACATATGGTCAGGAATGCTAACATGTCCACACAACCCGGCAGTTTATACAGTGTGATCTTTATTGAGACAACAACAGCAAACAAACAAGGACATGCTTTCACCACAAAGACTCCAAAAGCTAAAGCATCAGCCCCTGACTCCAACACACTCAAGAGTGGCAATAATGAAAACAGAAAAACATAAAAAGCAGAAGCCAGTTCTGTCTAAAGCCAACTGATATTCTGAAAGAGTCTTGCTGCAGTGACCTGGAGATCATCAGCAGGCGGCACAGCAGCCCAAAGAAGGGAGGGGCCATCTGCCCACCAGCCATCCGATAGAAGAGTAATACAGAAACTTAACAGCAAGAGAACAGTAGTTTGAATTCTTGAAAAATGGGCAACTGACTTAAACAGAAACTCTTTGAAACAAATACAAACATCCAGGAATTATATGAAAAATGTCCAACATTGTGAGCCATTAGGGAAGTACAAGTTAAAACTACACTGAGGACATGGGTCTGGTGGCACCTTCAATTCCAGTACTCAGAAGGCAGGGGCAGGAAGAGCGCTGTGAGTTTTAAGCCAGCCTGTTGTACATAGCAAACTCCAGTCAAGTCAGGGCTACACAGTAAAACCCTATTTGATAAAGTCAAAATAAACCTGCCCTGAAATTGTAACTCACCCCAGTCAGAATGGCTATTACCCAAAAGACAAAAAATAACAAATTCTGGTGATGATGTGAAGAAAAGCAGTCTTTCTGTGCATATGGGGGACTAGACATTGGTACAGCTACTGTGGAAGTATGGGGTTCCTAAAAAGACAACTGTCAGATGATCCAGCTTGTGGTCCTTTACCAAAGAGAAAGAAATCAATCAGCCGAGCACAAAAAAATAAACAAACAAAAAAATCCCCCCAAAAGTAGGCAGGCAAATGGGACACACAACAATTACTGAAGTCCTGTTCTCAACAGAGTGCCAAATCCATCAGTCTTATCAAGAAATAAATGCATGAATAAAACACAGTATATGTACACTTTGCAGCATGATTTAGCCTTAAAGAAAATTATGCCAACTGTAGGTAGCAAACCTAACAACCGTCACGTTGAATAAAATGAAGCAAAATCAGAGGCAAAGGCATTACATAGGTTTTCTCTCACATGCAGAAAACAAAAAACAAACAAACAAAAACAAAAACAAAAGTGACAATGATCTGAAGGCAAAAGAAAGAAGGACTAAGAAAAACGGGAGGGGAAGGGAAAGAGAGAGTGAAGGGAGAACAGCCATGGGCAATGCACACAACACACACACATATGAAGAGTATCAGAAGAATGTGTACAGCTAATGTACATTAATAATCATAACTTTGAAATGCACTGGGCAAAAGTGTGGCAACGATGCCAGTGGGTAAAGGTGATGTCAAAGTGAGAATCAAGACAAGTCAAATTCTGGAGGTGAGTCAGGGTGAGGAGAGACTGGGATGACAGGCCTACCAGGAGGAGCAGTGGCTGACAGTCTATACAAACAGGTCATCACCCAGGCTCCAGGGACACTGGAACAAAGACTCCTGCCCCAATGCAGTGGACAGCAGAACTGATTCCCTAGAGATAGAGGGTTCTAAGAGGAACCTAAACAAACTGACACGTGGGCATCCTTTTAAAAAACCTGCTTTCCCTGTTAGCCTACAGCCTAGCCCACCACCACCAAGTCCTGAGCTCACATGTAAGCTCTTGCCACTCCTCAGTGCGCTACTCTAAGACAGGAGCAGTGAAAATCATCACCATTCATTTGAAGACCTGTAACAGAAAAAACACGGACCAAAGCAAACAGCAAAACTGAGTCCATGAAATTAAACAATGTAAAGCCCCCCCTTTAATTTAAAGCAAATTAAAACTAATTCGTCTTTTAAAGAGAGAAATGTATACTATACTTGTGAAATAAAATTAGCACTCGCAGAAAGAAACACTAAGAACACCAAAAGCTCCTCAAACTAAAACTATGACAGCAGGTTTATTTTTCCACTCAGCATAAGGGCTAGAAGTGAAAGAACTTGCCCAGAAAAGAGAGAGTGACAGGAAATAAACAGAAGTTACAAAAGCCCACAGGATAAAGCACAGAGGGAAAGAAAGAAGAGCAACCAAAAGGCAATGGAGATGAACAATATGGCCTATGGAACAAAGAACAAAGAAGCCACACCAGGGCATTCTATTGCCAAACTCAGAATGAGAAGGAGAAAGAGAAGATCCTTAAAGAACCAGAAGTCAGAACAGCACCTGCCATCTCAGCAGCAGAAACAAGATAGCAGGAAATGGAGCAATTCACATCAGTTTTCCAAGAGAATAAACACCCAACACGGATGTCCACTATGGCACATGCTTCCCAGTGGCTGCCACGAGGTCTTGTTCAAAGAGCAGCATTCTCCTCTCATAGCGGTCTGTCCAGAAAGGGGGATGGGGACTACAAACGGTGAAAGAATTGAATGGTTATTAAGTAAGCAGAGAACAACATTTACTTAGTGTAAGACTTGAAAAGAATAACGCAGTACCAACTCAGCATCTATGAATGCTTGCTATCACAAGCAGCACAGCTCCTTGGTAATTAGATTCAAACTCAAGTACAATATTCAGAAACAGGATTCTGTGTCCATAGTAAGAAACCAAAGCAGAATAACAAAAACAGTGAGGAGAAAATGTGCCGGGATACTGGTGGCATGCAGCCGCTTCAGAGCAAACTGCTTCTAGAGCACGGTCTCTGGGTTCAGACCCACTCCGGAACACACTGTGCCTGCTGGAGGGAAGAAGGTCAAGAGCAAGTTCAAATGGTGGAAAAGGAGCCTGCGTGTCTCAGTTCACAGACAGCCATCTATGGAAAATTACTTTGAAACTAACAGAACAAAAGAAAAAGCAAGTATTTACTTCCCACCTCCCAGGAGTTCAACCCACTAATGCTATAAAGTCTATGAGGACAAAGTTCCCAGGGTGACTATAGCCTAAGACTTAAAATAAGTATGAACTCCCCAATATGGGGTCCATGTCACTAAACCTACTTCTGATAGACACTACAAAATAAGAGCCCAAGTAGAACCATCTTCCACACATGCACTATTTGGGTTCTTTACTGCTAGGGAGACAAACTTTCCCATAATCGTTATGCTAATGACAACAATGTGCTATACCAAGAGCATGCTAATTTCAGAACCAGCTTTTCTCTTTGTGGTATGGCCATCCTAATGGGAAAGAGGTTAACCACCAACCACAACACTCTCCATCAATCTCAATCTTCAACATACACTCAAAGAGATAGAGATCAGGGGCTGGGAGTACAGTTCAATGGTAGAGTGCTTGCCCAGTGTGCATGCAGAAGTCCTAGGTTTGACACTTAGCAGAAGAGTAAGGAAGGCAAGAAGAGTGGGTTGGAGAGAGACAGGAAATGACGTGAAATCAGCATGTCAACGACATCTTATCTCGCCACGTGGATTGCAACATTACAGTACTAGGATATACAGTAAATCAACAGACAATGGATAAAGACAACATGATGCATTTTATAAACATGTGTTACATCAGCATTATGACTTAACTTCTATTGCAATGGAGTACTATTCAAACACAGAAAAAGATGTGCCCCAACATTTGTGACAGGATGGAGGCACCCAGAGGACACTGTTCTATGCTATAAACAAGCCAGGCACAGAAGACACAACACACAATCGCTTGTGGAACTGTAAAGTATCTCACAGAAGTTGAGAGTAAAGTAGTAATTATTGGAGACTGTGGAGACTATGGGGAAGGCTGGCTAACAGCTACAATGGCAGGAGGACAAAGTTTTGGCTTAAGGCAGTGGCTATGACCTGACCATTACCATTTATACATAAACCAAAAAACCCACATCACACTGTAGTTCATAATATGTATAACTATCATGTGGTTGCTCTTGCTTCAGGCTCTCACTTCCTAGACTCTGTTCCTGTTTTCCATTCCTGCAGAGGACCGTTATCTAGGACAGTGATCTGTAAGTCTCCCCTAAATAAATAACCCTTTATTATTCATCTGAACTAGTGCGAGATTATTTTGTGATTTCCGCCATCACTTTGCTTTACTGACCTTCAGGTTGAACCCTAATTTCTGTCTCTGAGTTTTTATTAATCATGTTTTAGGCTATCCACCATTGCTCCTCAAGGTCCTGACACCACACGTTATAAGCTACATCCCATCACAGCCATTTCTGTGGACCAAATTTTAAACTGTCATCATCACCTGGATTTCCACTTTCCAAGATGCAGAAATGATAGGTTTAAGAGAGGAACGATTCAAACCCCCTTCCACACTACTTTTATGACTCCACTTGGCCCCTGAGTTCCATCAACAGGGTTATGATAGCAGTAACTGGTAACTTCAAACCTTTAGCTAGGCTGTGGGAAAACAGGAATTGTAATAGGATCTGAAAGAACTCTTAATTCTGCAGGGTGCTGTTTCTCCATCTCAGAACTTTAACAGCCTGTCTGTTAGATTTTTAAGTGTCCGTCTGATGCAGTGACTCTCACCATGCAGTCCTACCTGTCTTTTGCATTTTAACCAAGTGTCTGATGCAGTGATTCCCTGTCACGCAGAGTCTTACCTGTCTGGCTTGGGGGTTCTTCCCAGCAGAACTGTTCTCCTTTGTACCATCCATTCCTCGAAGAACACTGATGAAATCCTTCTTGGAAACAGTTGACATCAACTTAGCTTGCTTCCTGATGGAGCCTCCTGCTTCCTTAACCTTTTCACCAACATTCTTTTGGTGTTTCTGAACAGCATTGAATAACTGCACCACACCCCTGGAATGCAAAATATCGGAGCAATGTTAACACAGACAAGCACAGAATACCGTCCTACTATGACAGTCTAGGAAAAGGCAAGAGCTCTCAGGAAGCAAATATTCTAATTTACTCTTGAAAGCTAACGCTGAGCTGAACTGACTCATCAGTCTGCTTGGTCAACAATGCAGTCTTTCTTGTCAAATCAGGTTGTAAGCTGGCTTTACTTCTACTTTAAAGCACATTGAATCCACAAGTGAAGGGTCTTAATATGTCAATAAGCTGAATTTTCATGTAGTTATTTTAAAATAACAATGGTTAAGAAGCTATTGAAAACTGAGTTGTTGTTGTTTTTTTTTCAAACAAAAGAGCAGTGTCTCAATTTTCAGGGATCCTCACATGCTGGGAATAACAGATGAGTCAAGACAGACTCTGCCACCTCACTGTGTAACCCCCACAGACCAGAAAGTGACCAGAGTAAACCATCAACTAGAAGTTGACCATCACTCCACTAAACAGAACTGCTGTGCTTTCTAAGGAGCAATTCAATGCTGCCTCCTGTGAGGCCATCCCCAATTCTCCAACTCGCACGGTTGCCACTATAGCAGAACACATCCCATTCTCCAAAATCTCATCTCTGCAGATGACACGTGATCACACAGAAGACACCATCTCCTCTTCAGCTCTAGATATGGAAAGTGGCAAATGCTTGGTGCTCATGCTGGGGTGAGGGATTCGAGGGAAACGGCCAAGGTAAAGCTGGCACAATGTGTGACACAGCATCCTGTTCATACAGTGTAAGAAAACAAACCCCACACCACGCGTTCAGACAAGCACTAGAGAAAGATGCCATCAGCGGTCTGAAAACACAATCCCCACAACTATAAAAATGATGACCTGAGCAGATGCAGACCCAATACACACTTAGCATACTACAGTTCTGCCTCATGACACCTCCAAAGTCTTTGGTGAAATTTAGTGTCCAAGAGCAGCCTTGGATGCATGTCACTCGGCTCAGGAAGACAGAGCTTGGGAATCAATCTGAAAGGTGGATCACTAGCAAAGCTTTTGCTTTCGTGGACCTGTTTTAAAGGCAGAAGCACTGTCTTACCTCGTTGCAATCCTCTGAAGTTTCCTCTCTGTCTCTTTGTCTTGGACAACATCTGGCTTCACTCTGCACAGCATCTCCCACTCCCGCTTCTTATCGAGCTGCGTTATAAATACAGTCATGTGAAAGGATATTAGGCATTTTTGAAAGAGCAGGCAACTTTGATAAGCCATTCTGAGGAAGGAGAAAGGTAATCAATCCCCGAGCTGTGGGTTGTGTTTTTCACCACAGTTTTAGGGGCTCAGCTCTCACAGCCTGTGGTCAGCACTCAGCATGTCATGTGAGAAGCAGTCTTTAAGAGGATCCCTGGAGTCAGGCTCTGGAGAACTGCCAACACATACAGCCAGGCAGTGCAAGGCAGGGTGAGCCAGCCACCCCTGACTGACACAGCCCATCATCAATGGGATGCACAAAACCACACTGCCCACTCCGGTAAGGGCAAGAAGCTTCCTGTTCTTTTTAGAGTGGACTCACCAACTAGATAGGCACGTATTGTCTCACGATTGTCTATTTCTCTTTGTATAAAAAGCATTTAAATCTATTTCTCCTCCCCAGGCACATCCAACAATGCTCTCATCATATACAGCCTTTTAATCCCAAACTCAAACAAGCTCATTTCCTACCACCATGCAAATACGGAAGGGGAGCTGGAGAAAGGAAGCTCCACAGACAACCCTCAGGCTAGGGTAAAATGGCTTCTGAGCAACATCCTGGTCCCGCATACCTGATTTGACAGACTGACTGTTTAGGTCTGTTTCCCAAGATGATATATACTGACCAGATGAACTACTCGCCTGAAGACCACTAAGCATCTACACTGATAACAGTGGAAAATGCTGGCTTTTCTCTACCCTCCTCTTCTTCTACATGGCTAAGACCAGGTGATGGTGATGCTTTTAATCCCAGCACTCAGGAGGCAGGGACAGGCAGATCTCTATGAGTTCAAGGACAGCCTATCTACAAAATAAGCCTCAGGAAAACAACACAAAAAAACAATAACAGAACGTGGCTGCTAACACTCCAGATCTGACAAGACAGAGTGGCCGGCTCCTTTAGAAAAGGCATTCTTCCCATGGTGCATTTCAAAATTAGCAGGTTCATTACCACACCAAGTTGATGGAGGAGGGTTAACTGTCTATGTGTTACCTTCATTGGTTAATAAAGAAACTGCCTTGGCTTTTGATAGGACAGCAGCTTAGATAGGTGGAGTAGACAGAACAGAATGCTGGGAGGAAGAAGGCAATGAGGCAGTCGCCATGACTCTCCTCTCCGAGACAGACACAGGTTAGAATACTCCTGGTAAGCCACCACCTCGTGGTGCTACACAGATTATTAGAAATGGGTTAAATCAATATGTAAGAGTTAGCTAATAAGAGGCTACAGATAATGGGCCAAGCAGTGTTTAAAAGAATACAGTTTCCGTGTAATTATTTCGGGAAAAATTAGCTGGGAGGCAGGCGGTGGGAAGCGGCTCACAGCTCCTACTACACTAAGTGAGAAACAAAACCTTAGCAGGTCACAGGACATTGCTACCTGACTTTTCCAGGAGGACAGTTTCGCCACTGCTGCCACCAGCAAGTGTGCTTCCACGTGCTCCACGCCCAGCACATCTCCAGCACTCAGAGCTGACCTATGCGCTCCCCTTAGCTTGAAATTCTTGCCCTCCCTGGAATCTGGAGACTAGAGGTAATTACGGGTTCTGTCATTTGTAAGACTGCTTCCAACCTTCGCCAGTTAATAAACAAATATTCAGATTTCAATGGAGAAGCGTTCTGTAAGGCTTAGAGACAAAGCTTCTCCTCGGTATAAAGGATTCTCAGTAAGAGCACAGTTGGATGTCGAGAGCAATGCCAGAAGAGTCCAGCTTTTAAGTGGAGTAACCTACAGGAACAAGGGAATGCCAGACACAAAAACAACATACGATAACTCACGCCTCCTTCTTTCACCTGTATGGAAACTACTCCTTAAAAGTTTGTACTTCTATACTTCAGTACAAATATGGAAAGTTTCTTTCATTAGAAACTACTTATTTTTATAGCCAAATATTTTGACATACTGATACTTATAGTACAAAGAAGACAAAAACCTCACCATAGCTTCCTTTATACTGTATAACAGCTAACTTATGTGCAAATTTAGGTTTTTAGTTAAGGTTAGACTAACTTTACCAGCAGTGATTGACTAGAGCAAGAATTCAGTTTGTCTTCAGAAAACCATTTCTAAACTACACACAATTTAGTATTCATATTTACACAGTAGAGCTGGGCTTGCTCCATGGCCCACACAAGACTGTGTTTCTGACATAACCCTGCTTACCCACCCACATAAGAAGCCCTTCGAGCTGAATGCTTCTAGGACAGACTCCAAGGCCAGCACAGACAAGCAGATGGACAGACCTGCTTCCTTTTCTCCAACCTCTCCTGCTTTAGCTTCTCCTTCTCCTTCTCCAGCTCTTTGTTTTTGGTGAGGATGGTGGGTTTACTTTTAGGAGTCTTTTTGTTAAGGATTTTGGCCATGGCATCTGCCCAGCCAGAATTAGTCCCAGCACTTGACTCTGCAGCATCTTCATTTTCCTCCTCACAGGACTCCACATTGTCCTCACTGTCGGCTTCTGCCGCACCATCATCTGAAGACTGGTCCATTTCTGCGTCACAGCTTTCTACCGAACCTAAAAGTAAAAGGAAGTTGACTTTAGTGCCCTGGGCAGAGCCCTGGCAGGCCCTCTGAAGGCCCGTGCCTGCAGCACTATGAGAAGCACCAGGATCCCCCATGTTGCTAACAGCAGCAGACAGCAGCCCACAGCGCTGACAGGGAAGTCAGAGTGCCGTCAGGAGCAGGTGGTGGAGACAAATCCAACAGCTGCTCACTTTGCACCTGTGGGGAAGGTGGGAGACCAGGGAGGTCCAATGCTGAGTGCTCTCAAGACAGATCCCAATTGAGCTCTACACTATTGAAGAGACCAACAAAGGTTATTTTTGAGAACTGAAGTATTAGTTGGGCAGTGGTGGTGCATGCCTTTAATCCTGGTTGCAGGTGGATCTCTGAGTTTCAAGGCCAGCCTGGTCTACAGAACAAGTTCCAGGACAGCCAGGACTGTACACAGTAAACCCTGTCTCAAAAAAAAAAAAAAAAAAAAAAGGCAAGATGTATGAATTCGTTAAGAAAAACATTTTAGTGCAGATTCCATTTTCCTAAAAAATTTGCCACACACATTAAAATCCTGAACTTTTATCCAGAAAAATACTAAAACCACCTGATTTTTTTAAAAGGAGGATATAGCAATAAAACTTTGATTTGGTCAACTCTCACATTTTGGTGGTTGGGGGAGATCAGCAGTGCTGAGCAACGGTGGAAACATCAGCCTCCGAGGTGACCGACCACATTCTTAGGGGTGTAGCAGAATTCACCAGAACACAGACTGTGGGCAAACTAGCTCCTCACTGAGAACCCAGGCAGCAGGGGTCAGAGGGTCAGAGGGCTAGCAGCAACAGCAGCACAGGAGGGCTTGGCTGGGAAAGCCTGCTGAACAGCTGGGGTACTGGAAGCTTAGCAGGCAGCATGGTGTGCAGGCAGCTACACGGCCCAGAGCACTTCCCAGAGTTCCAGTGTCTTCTTCCAGAATCCCATGGAATCCACTGGAAAACACTTCAAAGGAAACTGAGACGTTTTCTAATAAGAGCTAATAAAGGCAGCTGAGAATTCTCAGAGAGGAAACTCCGTGACAGCAGCTGCCTTAGAGAAACATGAGCTTCCCACTGCTCTCTTTAATACCATCTGACACCCCTCATAGAGGCAGATCCTTCCAACCTTAGAGTTTAAGCTACAAATCAGCCAAAACAGCTGACTAGACCTTTTACCCAGGGACTAACTATAATACATGGCCTTTAGGTACTAATTTTAAATAATACAGGTTAGGCATCCAAAAATCCAAAACCCCAAACACTGCAATATGAAATTTTTAAGAGCCATATTGATGAACTGAACTGGATTTGGAAGCATTTCCTTGGATTTCCCAATTACAGACGAGGATGATCAGCCAGCCAGCAAAGTCTACGTAGGGCAGTAAAGTCAGCACAGTGAAAACTACACTGTCAAGTGCCAGACTTCTCCCCAGAAGCATCTCATGTGCGCTCTCTCTCTCTCTCTCTCTCTCTGTCTCTGTCTCCCCCCCCCCCCAAGCTTTAATCAGCACTATCTGGGACATTAGAATAAAAAAAAGGCTTTCCCAACTCCTAAGAAAATACCCAAAATAACCAAACTACAACACTGACATCTAGTGTTCGTTCTGATGAATCTGTGCAAAGGCAGCAATGAGCCACACTGTGAGGTAGAAAGAAGTCTTTTCATGATGCAAGCCATTGCAGCTCTCCGCTTGCTCAGAGAAATACAGGACACACACACACACACACACACACACACAGAAAAAAAAACTTGCAAAAAGTCTATAGCAATATTTTATACAACCTGAACTCACCCTACCAATGAAAAGAATTCCAGAAGAATTTGGAAAAGTGGTGTTTTGTTTTTCAGCACTTGAAAGCCTTTTATTGGGGGTGAGGAAAATCGCATGCAGCAGACACACAGAAAAAGACAGGGAACACAGTAAGCCAAGGAATCGCTATTTTGTTTTATTTTATTTTATTAAGAAGCTCAGATTCAGCAAATGAGTCCAGCATTTGGTACTAATGGAAATAACATTGAGGATAAATAAATAAAAAATAATAATGTAGTAAAATCTGCCAACACACACACACACACACACACACACACACACACACACACACACACGACATAATTTCCTTATAGGATACTGAAGACCAATTATTATGAGAACTAGAACTAAACGAATAAACCAACAACCAACAAACTCACTCTTCATTTTCAACTGTATCCTGACAGATACAGAAAATCTTCTGCTAATTTTTCGCTAACCAATCTTTTGCAGCAGAAAGTAAACACAGCTGTCTAATGCATGACTAGAAATCACTAGACATGTATAAAATTCTTTCCACGTCCTATATTACTTTTAAAGGTGACTACTGAGTTTTACTTTATAATTAGGAAAACAAGAAAGAACTGCAGAGGACGCTTACTGCAAATAATGACAAAAATTCCAACAACGGCAATGCTCCACAAGTCACCTACAAGCTATTGCCTACTTCAAATATGTCTAGCGTGACCGAGGAACTCAATTCTTCAGCTCTCACCACCTTAAATGCAATATAACTGCAGACTGAAGAAGACACGGGCTTCTCGCCTTCTGCTTCTTCCAGACCCTCAGCAGCCACACACTTGTCTACCTACCAGTTCTTCAGCCCAGAGGGCTAGCGGCTGGCAGGAAAGTAGAGTTTTCCTCAGGCCCAAGACAAACGGCGAAGAGCATGCACACCCCCCAGACATTTCTAGGCACTTCTGAATAAAGAACAAGGAAAGAAATGACACCCAGTGCTACCCTTCTTTCACCAAAGAACTCAAGTTCAGCAGATAAAGAAATGTTCGATAAAGCTGTGCGTGTTTAAGAGAAAAGAATGAATACTAATGACAGGGCAGGAGGTGGTTGTGGGAAAGTTTACAAAGACAACACTGCCATAAACCGTTCACCACTCACACAGGGCTTAGACACTTCGTTTCTTAGGTGTGCTGCTTTGCTATTTTAAATCATTTTAACGAAAAAGATGGCTGCAGTTTGATGAAAGCACACATTCTGCTAGGTTATTAGGTCTTAAATGCAGCTTTGTAGTTCATCAAAAATGAAGGGCTAGATTGTTATGAAGACCAGTGTGAGAAGCGGACAGCAATTTTTATGCACGTAACCAAGACAATTTAGGGGTTTTCACTGTCTATGTGAGCCTAGCCTTTAATGGCTGAGCCACCTCTCCAGCCCTAGAATGACATTACCACCCACCTTATGTCACAGTCGGAGGACACTTTCTCTGAGGAAGTGTCTCTTCTCATCCTGGCTATGGAGGGAGGCCAAGGACTTGGTCACCTGGGTTGACTGGAGTATAAAAGCTTTTCCCCAAGATTACAAATAGCATTGTGCCTGAACCTTCTGCACTGATTCGACAATTTGAGTAATAAGTCGGTTAGTCTCACCTTCCTCAGCTAATAGTATCTGTTTTCATGTTTTGACCAAAGTTCAACAGAAGTGATTTTTGAGGTTTTGTTGAAGAACCAAGTATATATTGTATTTGAAGCAATAAATTATCCACTTAATCTAGGCAGCTCAAGGAAAACTCTATAGGGATGTCATCCTCTCTCCCTCTTACAGCAGCTGACATTCATACACTGTTTAAGATACATACTGTAGCTGAGTCAAGCGGCATAAGACTGAGGCAGGAGGACTGCCAAGTCAAAGCCACAGTGCTAAAGGAGCAAACAGTCTCTCAAGAAATGGGCAAATGGCCTGTGCAGTCACTCTTCAAGTGAAAAAGTACAAATAACCCAAAACACAGAAAATATGCTTACTGTCTTTAGCCATGAAGGAAACACGAATCAAAACTACAGCAAGATTCCATGTCACTCCAGTCAGAATTTCATCAAAACAAAAGAAACCACATATGCTGGCGCTGGAGAGGCCAGAAGTGGGAGGGGACATGGACTGACACAGGAGGACCTTCAATTAGAAGCCACTGTGACACACTCCAAGTCTATGCTCATGAGATCCCAACTAAAACTATCAGTAGAAATATAAATTGGTATCACCTATAAAAAATTAATGAGGGGCCTTCAAAAAATTAAAAATTTTGCTTAAAATATTTTAAATCCATGAACCATAAAAAGATGATTATTTTTCTACTATTAGAGATGCTACATCCTAAATAAAAGCAGGTATTTTAATAACAAAAAAAAAACATGAAAACTGAACTGTGATTTAATTACAAGACTTCTAGCAGTCTCCAGAGGAATCAATGTCAGAGATTTTACCAAGGTGCCACTCAGCCAAGATCTGGTATCGGTCGAGTTGTCCATTGGTGGAAGAACAGAGATCTTTCTAATGTACTTAATGAATAAAAGTCTCCTGAGCACCACACATGCATCAGGTCTATGCAAAATTCTCAGATACTGCCGCTATCAAAGTCTCAATGTCTCCATCTCAAGAGATCAGGAAGTTTTTGCAACACACCATATTTCATAAAAGCAGTTTTCTACCTCTCTTGAACAGTATGTCAAAAGAAATCAAAACCAGAAGATAAAAAGTACAGCTCAAGACACATAAGCCACACCCGTGCTATCTGTGAGGCAATGCCACCCAACAAAATGAGGTTGCTTCAGATCTTTAACCACTGTCATGCTCAGCTGAAAAGTCAAATATGTCTGATCCAGGTTCCTAACAGATGGGCTGGTACAATTTAATCACATGCCTGTAACTTGCTCACCACTCCTGAGGCCTCAGTTTTTATAACTTTTCAGTTATTGTCATCTGAAATCTTGGCGAGAGCTCTATAAAACCTTTCCAGAAAGACTGAATTCACAAGACAAAAACAACCATTTCTTAGGTTAAATATCCAATTCTGAGTCACACCAAAGAAGGTGCATTAACCAACAACTATCTATTACAAAATTCATGAAACGAAAGGCCTTTTATTATTCTTTACCACTGTCACAGACATGGCTCAAACGCCAAAAAAGAACTTGATGGGGAGTAGTAAACTCAGTGGGAGAGCTCTTAGCTAGCATTTATGTGGTTTGATACCAAACATCACACACAGAAAAGACACATAAAAGTTGTTGGATTTTTTTGGGGGGGGAGGGGGAGTTAAGTGCATTTTCTGCTCTTCAGAGGACTTGAGTTCAGTTCCCTGTAACTGAACCTATAACTACAGCTCCAAAAAATAATGCCTCTGGCCTCCATGTCTGTACACATAACCACATGTTGGCATACACACACGTAAATAAAAATATTGAAAAAGCATGTAATTTAAAAATGAGAACGACAATCTAAAGAAAGCAGGGTATTAAGCCACCAAGCGAACCTGACAAGGAGCACAGTGATGCATTAGAAACATAAGGAGAACTATCCAATGGCTCCGAGACTCAAGCCAATGAAAAAGCAGGTGGACATACAAGCGTTTGAAGAGTACTGTAGGCAGGACAGACAAAAGGCAGAGAAACGCCAGCATGCGGGCACGTCCCATGTGTCAAGCAACCAGTATGAATAGAAAACAGTAATTAACAAGCAGCAGAGAGGCAGATGAGGAGACGAGACCAGCCACATCGTGAAAGTTAAAAATGCGGGATGTTACTCTCGGATGTGCAGCCATTCCTGAATGACTGACACGAACAGACACACGTGGAATTGTGAGTTACCAGTTACTACATAGTAGCAGTAACTTGGGCGTAGGAAGCAAATGTCTGCCCTTCCTTCTAAACTCAGAAGCTGGTGACAACGACCGAAGGTTAAACGCAACAGTTAGGGCAGACACATAATGGTGAAAGGCCTCCCAAAGCACAGCTTCCTTTCATTCTCAAACTGGTACTTCTGTTTCTCTCCTTACCATTTACTCTTCTTCACTGAATACTATCTTGTCTCCAGCTCCCAAAGGCTTCCTTCCATGCCCCCACTACACAGTTACAGCATTTATTCCGCCTTGGGGCCTTTTGCTCCTCGCTCTCTGAGCCTATCCCACCCCTGTTGCTTCAACTGAGAGTCTGCCTTTCCCGCTTTCCTCCTGTTAAGTTTCTCATTGGCACAAGCAGTTCCTTCCATCTTAGCAACAGCTGACTGAGTGGAAACACAAAACTAAACATGACAGCAAGGCGTCTCTGAACAACTTCACTCGTCCCACACACACAACGCGAAGAAATGCAGCCCTTGCCTTGGGGAGTTCAGCCCGACCTTCTCAGCCGCCAAAGCTCCGCCCGACCGTGTTACCTTCCCCGTCGGAAGAGTCTTTGAGCTCATCTTCCAGATTCGAGATTTCAGCCTTGGCTACCAGCTTCATCTTTCGCTTCTTCTTCAGGGAACGCTTTAGCTTTTTCCCCGCGCTCACACGTGAGTCTTGAATGGTCGCAGCCATCTTGACCCGCCGGAAGTGCCGTCTGATAACTCAGTCGGGTTGCAACGAACGGAACTTCCTCCTCTAGTCCCGATGTTAGAAAGTTCCGCAACGCCGATGTCCATCCTGAAGTTCCGGGCTTGGAGTCTCGGGTGTAGACAGAGAAACTTTTGGATCTGCAGGTGTTCTCAGGCAAAGGCGAAGTCGGTTTCAGGTCTCACCCTGCCCCACTGGCGGCCTGCTGAAGTCGGAGTAGATCCTTCCCGGCCCCCTACCGGGCGGCTCCTCCAGCCCGCTCCGATTTCTCTCCCACTGGGCTCCCTGAGTTAGAAACCGCATTCCCAGTCACTTTCTTGAGACCAGCCATGAATGAATGAGTAACAATGCAATTACAGAATCAGAAGGCAAACTTGACTTTCACGCGGTTTTTTGCTTGTTTGTTTTTTGTTTTTTAACGGACCACGCATGTTCTAATAGTGTTCCAAAGCTCGGTGTTCTTGCTGCCCGGGTACAAGGGATGAGCCACGCCATAGTCCTACCTAGCACCTTCCATAAACGGCAAAACAGTTTTGTAGTGCCTAATGTGGGGGGCGACAGTAGGAGTATCCTCCTAAATTAAGTCTCCTTTTTCTTTTTATTGAGCTATATATTTTTCTCTGTTCCCCTTCCTTCCTCGCCCCCCCCCTTCTGCGCTCTCCCATGATCCCCACGCTCCCAATTTACTCAGGAGATCTTGTCTTTTTTTCTACTTCCCATGTAGATTAGACCCATGTATGTCCCTTTTAGGGTCTTCTTTGTTGTCTAGGTTCTCTGGGATTGTGAATTATAGGCTAACTCTTTTTTGCTCTATGTCTAAAAGCCACTATATGAGTAAGTACATATTATATTTGTCTTTCTGGGTATGAGTCACCTAACTCAATATGATGTTTCTAGATCCATCCATTTGCCAGGAAATTTCAAGATGTCATTATTTTTTTCCACTGTGTAGTTCTTCATTGTGTAAATGTACCACATCTTCTTTATCCATTCTTTGGTCGAGGGCCATTTAGGTTGTTTCCAGGTTTTGACTATGACAACTAATGCTGCTATGAACATAGTTGAGCACATGTCCTTGGGGGATGGTTGAGCATCCTTTGGGTATATACCTAAAAGTGATATTGCTGGGTCTTGAGGCAGGTTGTTTCCTAATTTTCTGAGAAATTGCCATGCTGATTTCCAAAGTGGCTATATCAGTTTGTGCTCCCACCAGCAATGGAGGAGTGTTCCCTTTACCCCACATCCTCTCCAGCATAAGTTGTCATCAGTGTTTTTGATCTTGGCCATTTTTACAGGATCTCTTAAATCCTATCTAATACATTCATTAAACTAAACTCAGACTCCACTCTTTCTTCCAAAGTCTAAAATGTAAGGAATTTGTTTTGTGAGTTGTTGGATCTCCACACCATATCCCAGTGCCTACCCCAAAACTCACCAGTGTTATTAAAGGATCTCATCACCTAAAATACATCCAAGCCCCTACCTATAGTGAATTAGTACTCCATCCAGGTTTTCCTTCCTTAGCTTATGGTTTATCGCACCCAAATTTTCTCTTTAAAAAAAAAAAAGAAAGAAAAGCAGGCCGGGTGGTAGTGGTGCATTCTTTTAATCCCAGAACTTAGGAGGCAGAGGCAGGCGAATCTCTATGAGTTTGAGGCCAACCTGGTCCACAAGAGCTAGTTCCAGGACAGCTAGAACTGTAACACAGAGAAACCCTGTCTCAAAATGATAACAACAACCAAAAATAAACAAACAAAAAAACAACAAAAAAAGAAAAGCAACAGAAAATGTGAATCTTCATTTTGATGTGTTTTGGTGCTTATGCAGGATATGTGTGTGTACGTGCACGTGTGCACACAATCATATCCTGTATGTGTAATGTGTGTGTGTATATATATATGCATATATATATATACACATTCTCAAAACAAGACATTTCAAAAGCAATGCAGGAAATATGGCATTGTAAATACAGTTTAGGACTAGGTCAGATTCCAGCATAAGCCTCTGAAGAGAACAATTCCAGTTCAACTTAAAGGAGTTTCCCAAGTCATTACTGATTCCCGAGATCTTCTCTACTCTACAGCAGTGTAATACTTGCAGTCAAATGCCCTACTGGCCCCGAGGCTTCTTTCTGTGCCTCATATTTAGCACTTGTTCTTTTTAAAAAATATTTACTTTCATTTTTCCATACAATATAATTTAATCATATTGTCTCCCCTCCCCTAACTCCTCCAACATCCTACCCACCTCCCTACCAACTCAACTTCATATTCTCTCTCTCCTCTCCTCCCAAATAATAGGAGAAATATCAACAAAAATATCAGAACAGATAAACTAATTTTTTAAAGATTTATTTCTTATTTTTGTAAGCCTGTATATGTTTATGTGGGCCCCATGCAGCAATGCATGTGGGGTTCCAGAAGAGAGTGTGGGATCCCGTGAACTGGAATTCACTTAAGAGCCATCTAACATGGAAACCTAACCAGGATCCTTTACAAGAGTAGTTAACATTCTTAACCATTGAACCCTCTCTCCAGCCCCCAGCCCCCTCTCTCTCTATTTATCCTTTGTCAAATTCATGCACATATTCAGTGTACCTTGGTAACAGTCATCCCAAGATATTCTCCCACTACCTCACACCCCCACATATCATATGCCCCTCCCATTTTCATGTCTTTTTTTTCTCCCCGTAACTTACTGAATCCAGTTGGTACTAACTCTGCTCATAGACTGTAGCACAATTAATAAAAACCCAGAGACAGATATTGGGGTTCAACCTTAAGGTCAGAAAAGCAAAACAACCAGCCACTGGCTCTTATCTCTAACTCAGTCTGAAATGGTGATCCTGCCTCCAGGAATCTCAGAATGAGACTGAGTGAGAGCTGTTCTTTTCCTGTTTTATAATCCTCTCTAGGACTGGGATTAAAGGCATGCACCATTACTGCCCAGTTTCTGACAAACTAGTGTGGCTACTGGAATTAAAGGTGTGTGTTACCACTGTCTGGTCTGTAAGACTGACCAGGGGGGCTGTTTTACTCTCTGATTTTCAGGCATGCTTTATATATTAAAATACAAATGAAGTAGCTCTACAGTGGACAACCTACCATCGGCCATAACCTTGAGGAAAAATGCCTCCCCACCCAGTCACCAGTCAAAGCTCCCCATCTGGGGGCAGGGCCTCGTTAGCTCCTCCCCTATCCATGAACTGAACCCACTTCTTTTTTATTTTAGTCTTGACGCAGTGTCTCACAAAGTTTCCCAGACTGGCCTTGAATTAACTCTGTAGCACAGGCGGGTCTTGATTTTTACTGTGTTCCTGCTTCAGCCTTTACAGTAGTTGTGGTTTCAAACCTTGACCATTCAACCATAGTTTCTACATAAGAATTGTTACAGGCTTGGTTACCGTTTAAATTACTTGCAAGAGAAAAAAATAGTTGGTTACATATTCAAATTTTTTTTCACTAAGACAATATAAAGTGGAATCCAGGTTTTGTGTGTGGAAATCTGATTCTCAGAATTGGATATAGTAGTAAGTATCTGTATTACTTCATTTAATTTTCATAATAAACCAATGAGCTAGTTGCTTTTACTATTTCTGTTTCATAGATGAGGAAACCAAAGCTGAAAAGAAGTAATTGTTCAAAATCACATAGGTAGCAAATGGTAGGATCTATTCAGACTTAAGCCCTCTGTCCCGGAGTCTGCTTGGGCATTGAACTGCACAGCCTACTTACATTGTTGTGTCTCAACACTTAGAAAGCATGAAATTTAAAAAAAAAAGGATTGAAAATTTCAGGTAGCACTGTAATTCACAAATCAGAAACATAAAACATCTTACAATGAAAAGACTCAAGTAGAAATCCCCTGTCACTGGGACTACAAACACAATTAAGGGTGGACCCCCCATTAGTAGATGACCAACACAAAACCAACTCAACTACATTTTTGGAGCTTTTTTTTTCCTTTACAGCTCCTTTGTGTATATATTCTGGTTTCTAATTTTGTGCTTTTATGAGATTTCTGTGTGTGTGAAGGTGGGTGTCCCTTCATCTACATGTGTGTGTGGAAGTGGATGTCTCCTCATCTACATGTGTGTGTGGAAGTGGATGTCTCTTCATCTACATGTGTGTGTGTGGAAGTGGATATCTCTTCATCTACATGTGATGTCCTATTCCGATGAATTTGTTTTCATTTTCTCTCATTTTCTCATTATTTTTTAGATGCCTGTTTTCTAATGAGAAGAAGAAAGAGTGTGGCTTTGGGTAGGAGGGTGGCGGGGAGGAGACGGGAGGGGAAATTGTAATCAGAATATATTGTATGAAAAAGTCTATTTTAAAAATCCATTCTGTCCCAGAAACAGCTGGCAGCATCTGAAGACTGGGATAAACAAATGTGTGCCGGTCATCAGTGAGTGGCTCTGAGCGTGCGTCCCCTGACAGTATGGACAGTATAGTTCCTCCCTCAGGGACCTAAGCTCTTGGTCACGGTGTTGTATTACAGCCACAAATAATAAGGAACTAATATGGTGCTTCCCTTAAGGTTCTGAGATCCACTAAGGAATAACTAGAACTCCACTTTCATAAGCCAGGTGATTTTTTTTTAAAGAAAAAGTGAGCTATTTCTAAAGTTTGTATTTCAAATCCTGTTAGTAAATCTCCTTCCGAGTCCTCACTCTTCATTTTGTTTTCTTTCGGAAACACAGTCTCATGCAACCCAGACTGACTGACCTCAAGCTTTCTGAGTAGCCAAAGATGATCTTAAATGTCAGATTTAGAACTCTGATTTTCCTGCCTCTACCTCCCAAGAGGCATCTGTGCGACACTATGCCCAGTGTACACAGCACTGGGAGTGGAACCAAGGGTGTCTTCCACGCTAGGCGGGTGCTCTACCAACTGAGCCACATCCCCAGACAAAATTCTCTTTACAGGATACCAGGTTCCAAATCCTTTGCATCTCTTTACAGGATTACTTCCTATCATCATTAGTCTCTTTTTGTTGCTTTGGGTTTTTTTTAAAGA